ATATCTATATCTATAAAAAATAAAGCACCAGCTGAAAAATCATCTCAGAAGTTTCTTCTGTGACCAGGATCAAAGGAACTATTCTGGGAGAAATTAAAATTTTAATTATGCCTGAAAACAAAGAACTTTATGTTAACTAAAGGTACTGATCTAAGCAGAATACACATTTGCCACAGAGTCTCTTTGATAATGCTGGAAAACTATCTCACTCTCAATTTGCAAATCCTATTCTGTTTCAGTTTGAGACTTCTCTGGACTGCCTTTCACTGAATTGCAATGAAGTCTTTTGTAGTCTGGGGTTCTGTAGTTCCTTTGCAATCAAGATTTCCCAGGAGTGCTGTAATCGGAGGATGAGAACTAGGCTCTTTTAGTTTAGAAAAAAATACATCAAAACCTGAAGCTTTGCTATATTCCTGAATCCAGATGGAATTTACTTAATTGTTTGAAAGGGAAAAACAACTGGAAAAAGAATCACAAAACTACTGAATGAGAATGATGTGTTATGCACAGAGTAACTTATAGTATGGCTTTTTTGGGGCACTTGGGAGATGTGGGTTCAAATCATTTTAGAATAGATAATACAACAGAAGATCTGAGGCAAATAAAAAATTAGTTATTGACACAGCCTAGCCCTGAATAATAGTTGCAAACATAAATAATTTAGAAAGTACATCTGAAAGCATGCATTATTGGAGAGCAGAGCTGAGGATACGCTAAGAGGGAGAGCACAGTGACTGGAGGTTTACTAGACCACTGCTCAGTTGTTGTAAGAGGACTGCACAAGGCATTTGCAAGTTATGAGGAATGATGTAGGTAGAAGGAAGCCTGCTGTGCTATGCAAGGAAGGTTACCCTTGAAATCTTCAAGTTATTTAAGTAAAACTGCCAGACTGTTCTCTTTCATAGCGTAGAAAATCCACCGGTTCTTGAGCTATACCAGTGTTGAAGAGGTTTGTACGTGTTTGCTGTCAGTATATCTGGTGAATCAGTTTCGTATATATACCCCTGATACAGAACAGGAAAACCCTAGCTAATACAGAAATTCTATGTTGGGTTTTTAACATATTATTCTACTTCAGTATCATTTTATTTTACAGGAGACTATGTAGTCATGTCTGTTTACTTCAACCTGAGCAGGAGAATGGGTTATTTCACTATTCAGACCTACATTCCCTGCACACTTATTGTTGTGTTATCCTGGGTCTCTTTCTGGATTAATAAGGATGCAGTTCCAGCCAGAACATCACTAGGTGAGTTGTTTATTCTTCCTGATCTTATTCAAGTGTTCTGATGTTTAACTGACACCTCTGCAGATTACCAGTTTGTAAATTTAGAGGGGAGAGCGTTTCATGAGCTCTCCTTGTTTAAAGGAATGTAGTAATATCCGAGGAATAACACACTCTAAACTGCATTTGCATCTCTCCCTTCTTACTATGTCAGATCCTGAGTATTGTAGATTGCTTACAATAAAAACTTTGCATCTTTTCTGATGACAGTAATACTTTTTATAGACATTGAGAGAATGGGAAACATTGCTGGATTAGAGGCAGAGATGTGTTAGTTTTATTTACTTCTATCATGGTGACTGGCAATACAAATGAAGTAAACATCAAGAAGGAATCAATCTTTCTGGCTGTCTGTGTGCCCCAGTGGTAAGAAGGGGAGAATGTAGTACCCTGACTTCTGCTTTAGAGACCAACAATCAAATTTAGCCTTTAGGCCACAAAATCAACTGAATTTGGTGGTATCTAAAATCCTATGCATGGAAACTTGACACAAAGTTAATCAGAATTGGCAATTTCTACACATTTAACACAACTGTTCCACAAATAAACTAGATTAAGCTCACCTTGCTTGTGCAAAGCAGCTGGAGCTGCATGAATTAGCAAAATAGAAACTTTCAACTAGACAAAGTTAAACATATTTTCTACTTTTGCATTAAATCCACACAAGCAAGAATCATTGTAGTTTTTCCTTCTGCATTTTCATTTCTTTACAGAACTACAGCACAGAGCACTGGAGTGCAAAATAAAGGACAGCATTTTCATTCCATAACTCCCTTGAAAGCAACACAAGAATAGAGGACCACTGGCTCCCATGACCGAAACTTTTAAGTGTTCAATTGCCTTTTCCACTTCCTCTCTAAGAAGAGGTTATAACATCTGCTTTAAAGAAGTATAGAATTAATAAAGGCATTCAGCTGTTATTTAAATTCTACTTCAACATACAAAACCATTTCTCTCCCTTTGTTGAGAATTAGTCTATTTGTACCATTGAGGATATAAAACCAGTGGTATGAAACTTGCCATACAAAATGTGATGGATTTTAACTGTTCTGATGCATTTTTAATGTTCTTCACATTGTAGTACAGGGAGTAATGTTCTGAAAGGAGAAGGCATGGTGAAGTATGTCACAGTACTTCACAGTTGTAGAGTACAGTCATTTATGAAGACCAGAAATGAAGCTGCTCTGGCATAGAGACGAATCTGACCTCACAGTTTTACATTTATAAGAAGCCCTGAGAGTCTCTCCCTTCCAGCTTTATATGCAACGAATCACTTAAATAACAAGCAGCAGATAATTTGTGTGGGGCTAACATGTCCACACAACTAGAATGCATTTAAGCAAGAGAAAGGAAACAGTTTTATTTCCTTATGGAGCACACATACAAATCTACACCTTTTGTCCTGAGGTTCCTGATGGATTACATGCCTTAAGAATTTTAATTAATTTCTACCTCATAAAATGGCTGCAAGTGCCTTTCTTAGTGGCATTGCTGTCACCCTGCAACTAAAAACTTACCCTAACAACACAAAGCCTGTGAGATTGGTCTTGAGCTTACTTTAAAGAATAAAGAGATTTTTATTCTCCACCATGATTTTATCACTCTGACACAAGTTCTTTTGTCTACACTCTGTTTCAGTGTTTAAGCACACAAAGCCTAACAATAAAATGTGTGAAAAGTAAAGGCCACCTAGCAGTAAACTACAAAACTAAACAAATAAATTAGATTTCTTAGACTCAGGATCCATCTAACCAAACTATTCTGCACAACAGCACTTGCAGAGACCATGCAAAAGTACTTCATACCCTGTGTTCATCCTTGAAGCTCTCACTGAATCCACGTTCACTGCTGGGATACGCTGTTTAATATCTTTGCTATATGTTTGAACTCCAGGCATACTTCAAAATCTCTCAGAGAGAGAGAGAGACAACAAAATCAGTTTGTACTTGAAGTTATGTTTCTGTTGTTTTCTGTCTATCTACCAGGTATAACAACTGTCCTGACAATGACCACGCTAAGTACAATTGCTCGTAAATCTCTTCCCAAAGTCTCCTATGTGACAGCAATGGATCTTTTTGTGTCAGTCTGCTTTATTTTTGTTTTCTCTGCACTGGTGGAATATGGAACTTTGCACTACTTTGTCAGCAACAGAAAGCCAAGCAAGGATAAAGACAAAAAGAAGAAAAACCCAGTATGTATCTTTTTAGCAGCAAGGTCTAAAATTCAATTATGTTTTCTAAGAAAGCATTTAAATCCCTCTTTATGCTTGTACTTTCTTTTCAGACATTGCTAATATATACTCTTCCTTTGTATTAAAAGGAATGCAAACATCCACCTTGAGAATGAAAAGCTCATACATTACAGTTGTCTGGATGCCAGAGAAACTAATTTCTTAGAATAAGGATCCTTTTAACCACAGTGTTCTGCAAATCACAGCTATCACCAAAACCATTATTTATATCATAGATAGAGCTGTTGCTGTGACCTTTATGAAGAACTGTCACTTTCTCTGTCTTAGCTTTAGCAATATTCTCTGGCATTAACTTATGTGTGTGTTATTGATATGACTGTTTTTCTTATTATCAAGACTGCAGTTAAACATTTATATTCAAACTACAGAGTATGCTTTTTCTAATTTCCCCTTAAACATCTGTTTACTTTTCATTGTTTTCTTGTCTTCTTTTCTTGTATTTCTTACCTCCTTTATCTACTTTTCTCCTTTAGAGAGTGATTTAGCTAGCAGTTTACAATGTTACTTATGGATGTATGCTACACAGTAATAAATAAGTGTATTCAATAGCCACAATAACAAAATCCTGCAAGTACCTTCAGTAGGTGTTTAAAGTTTTGCCCAGGCAGGGAAAAAGTTCGTTGCTTATTTTGTCCAGGGCAGATTTCTCCTTGCCTTTTGCACCTGAACTAAAAGGTCTGTTGCATAGAATCTCTGAGATGAAAACAATTAGTGTAAAAATCCTACAGGGAAAATAGCCTAATCATCTACAAAACAACCCAAACATGCCTGTGAAAAATGTGAAGAACAAGTGCTTTACATTAATAGCAAGCATTTCGAAATCCATTTCAAGCATCTAGTAATTTGGATTCACCCTCCTAAAATCTTCAACGACTTTTGAAGACATTCTCTTTTAGTTTTAATATACAGCACAAAAAGAATATAGTAAATAGAATGATGAAAGAACATTTATTACACATTACTGCTATAATTTCCACTTTAAAAGATGTTGAGAAGTAGACTAATAGTCTACTTCTATAGTGGGTAAACAGCCAGAAAAACACCTATAAGAGGAAGAATTCTTACCTAACTTTAGGTATGTTAAAGTTGGATTTCATCATAGGCCTCTCTTTTGGTCAAAAGAAAGAGGCATTGCCAGCAGGTGACACGTCCTGTCTTGTCTTAGGCCATAATAAAAGGCTGGCTGTGTGCATGTGTGTCTTTTAGAGTCCATTAAAGGAGCAGAGATTAACTACCTCAAACTTAGTTGTGTCACTTAAAGATGTCCATAAAAGGGCAGATGACTTGTTCTTTACATTACTTATCTGTGAGCATTTGGGGACAAACAGAACTATAGATGATTGCCTGGATCCTAATCAGAGAGCCTAAACAACTTAGCAGTAGAGTGTTGAAGACACGCTCTGCAGGTAAAAAGAATTTTTTCTAATAAAAGTGTTTTTGTAAACTGTGAATGGTCTCCTTCAAAACAATTCAACATAAAAGACTGGAATCCCCTGGGAATATTAAAAGATCTCAGTTGAGTGTGATACCTTATGTCTTTGGCCCAGATTTAGCTATAAGACAGTGACAAGTCAAAAATGTGGGGGGTTTATATTACAGATACTTGTTTACATTGTTATTATCCCAACTTTTCTATAAATTTAGTTCTTTTTGACTTACTATGTTTTAGAAACATATTTTTAATTTACATTATTTTTGTCTCTTTCTTTCTTTCCTTTCTTTCTTTAATTTAAAACAAACCCCTCTGATTCTCTTTTCTGTCTACAAAATGAAAGCTTCTTCGGATGTTTTCCTTCAAGGTATAATGTTTTTTGGAATGGAAATTCACTGCATGCGACTGCTGAATTTAACTATTAGAGCTTTTATGAGAGTGGTGTTTTGTTGTCTGTTTTTTTTTAATGAGACATCTAAGCATTCTACTGCAGGTAAATTCCTAATTCAGTAGAATGGTTATCTATTTCTAGACAAATTGTAGAGTTGATTCAGCAGCCCAAATATGGATTCACTATGGTTCTGAACTCACTTAAGTTCAAGAGTGACCAGCATTATTGGATCCCATGAATTGAGAGTTTAATGTTAAAACATTTCTGCTCCAATCTTTCTCAAGTTACCATGGGATCCAATAGCAGCAGCTACACCAGAAACATGCAATACACCCTTTTAGAACTCAACTCTGACCCCACCTTTTTAACCTTTGTGATTTCACTCCAACTTCTAAAACTAAATGTGTTCTGATGTTGACCTGAAGAAAATTTAATGTCATCATCAGTTACTCAAATGCTCTTATGGTTATGCAAAAAAGTCAGAGTTTTGAAAGGGTTTAAGTTGCATATATATTTTTAATGCCGTCACTGGATCAATAGACTCTCAGGACACTAACAAACGTATCTAGCTATGGTTCATATGTAAACCTTATCTTCATTCCTTGGGCAACATAGTTAAGTGTGTGGTGTCCCTGCTTATGGCAGGGGGGTTGGAACTAGATGATCTTAAGGTCCTTTCCAACCCTAACTATTCTATGATTCAGAAATGCAGAGATTCCATTAAAAAAAAAAACAAACAAAAACCAAACAAAACAAAAACAAAAACAAACAAAAAAAAAAAAAAAACAAAAAAAAAAAACCCCAAAAAAACAAAACCAAACCAAAACAGAAAAAAAAAAACCAACCCCACAGAAAAACCCCAAACATGCACACTTATGGAATGGAATTGTTGTTATTTTACCCTAATAACTATCAGTAGGAAATTTCAGTGTCTGTCATCCTAGTTTTCGCCAAGTGCTCAAATGTGTTTTAAATGCTTCATTTGCTCAATTTGTTTCAAATATATATGTGTGTATAGATATTTATGTACAGCTACTATATAAAATCTGGAACATGTTGAACCTTCTAGTTGGTGAACATTAGTAGATGCTAAACCACATATATTCAAACAACTGGAGAGACTTATAGAGACAAGGTCCCACCTTGTTTATTCAAAAAACCCAGTTTTTGCCTTTTTTTCCTATATATATTTGCTCCTGTCTCAACATGAACCAGCCCTAATTTCAAATCCTGCGTTACCATGGATTATTTCAGTTCTATGTGCAATGCACAAAATGCCTTCAGATATCAAGCAGCTATGTAAAATACAAACCACAAGAAATTAAAAAATACCATCAATTACATTCCTGAATGTTTCCTTTAACCTCTGATGTTTCCTTGTTTGGCTTTCAAGCTAATTGTCCACAGCTGTTAACTTTACATTGATTTGTGCTGCTTTCCTGTAAAGTGTATGATGCAACTGGTTTTAGTGAGTTTAAGGTAATACTGCCATTAGAGCTCCTCAGCAATTTCCCATGTACCCCATGCAGAACCATCATTCACATGTTCACTATGAGTCTCCATCTCCCTGTTGGTCTCGTGATAATAACAAAGTCTCTCCCTCCTGCCATCTTTGTCTTTTTTTGCTACTCCACCTTAGGCACCTACAATTGACATCCGGCCTCGATCAGCTACTATTCAAATGAACAATGCCACACACCTCCAAGAAAGGGATGAAGAATATGGGTATGAGTGTCTTGATGGCAAGGACTGTGCCAGTTTTTTTTGCTGCTTTGAGGATTGTCGAACAGGAGCATGGAGGCACGGAAGAATACACATCCGCATTGCCAAAATGGACTCCTATGCCCGCATCTTCTTCCCAACTGCCTTCTGCTTGTTTAACCTTGTGTATTGGGTATCATATCTTTACCTTTAAAAGCAGAAGGAAATCAGTGATATGAGCCTTACTCACTGAATTTCTTAGAGAGATGGTTTCCTAAATCCACTTGAAGTATTTATGATGCGCTTTATAGTGGTCTGAATTCTTTAGTGCCATAACCCAGCAAATATCAATCATATCATTTGTCCAAAAACTGCCACCAGGTTATTGTGAATTAAATGTCCATTCAATATGCTGAAAGAATTCAAAATAAAAATAATATAAACAAGTAGTACACAGCTATACCTGCTGGAAGAGAGAGAAACCGAGCTGACAGGGCAAGGAGAGCATGGCAACATCACTTAATAGTTGATACTCCTATTTCAGTCAGAAGTGAGAGAGAGGAGAATTCCCAGGTAAAGTGCTGTACAGTTTGTTAACACTGGCTATAATTATGCTATAGCTTGATTCTCTGTGGGCTTTTCTTTTTGGAAGAGTCATCTCTCACTCTGAATAGGTATTATTAAGCTAGGAAAGTTAACTTTTACTCCCACCAAGATAAAAATAGACCCGACCCTTTGCCATCCCTTTAAGAGCACATGTACAATGCTGTAAATATTTCAATACCTTGTAGTACATAAAGTCTAGTGCATGCATCTTTTGGGGGCCAAAATAAATGAAACAAAGGTACCATAAAGTTTTGTCTTTTATTTAGTGTCTCTGGATGTGCTATTGTAATTGAAACGTGGACAATTTTTTTTTTCCTTGAAAAATTACTCCTTTCCCTCATGCATGGAAGATCCAAGCAGACAGCACTTTCATGTAAGACATTAGAGAAGCCTTAAGGATTCAAATAAATAACATGTAGACAAATCTGTATGGCCAATATAATAGCTCATAAAGTGTACTGTATGTGTCTGCTGCAGTTGTAGCCTTCATTTTCCATTGATAATGTTGCTATATTTCAACTGAATTTCCAGTAATTACACATTGCAAGATCAGCTTCTGAATTTAATCCATGTGCTTCTATTGTTCTTTTCCCATGTTGAGCTCCACTTTTTTTCCTTACACAAGTATTTGCAGGTTTGGGTTTTTTAATTCTTTAATCCAGTCCAGGAATTAGGTTTATTCTAGATATTATTTTTACATGAAAGTTTCAAGTTCATTTCAAAACATTGTATTTTGTATTATATATACACATACAGTTCTCTGCCCATTCATGTTCTCAATCAGCAATAGTTGTTGTCAGTGCTGCTTTTCACCAGTGAGTACCTTTACTAAAACAAACCTTTACCATGGCTAGCACACAGTTTAGAGATAGCCTTGAAAATAAAAGGGAACAGAGAGTGTCTTGGCTACTAAATCACATGTATGCAGTTTAAGTGTATTTAAAACCTCCAACCCATGTGGGTGACTCTTGAAAACCATTTATCCACTGGTTTTCAGAACCTGTATGATGCTCAATTATGCAACCTTAAGCACATGTAAATATGACTGACTTTTTTTTTTTAGTTGTCAAAGATGTAAAATGTCACCTCCAGGAAAGTGGGCTTGAAGGTTGAAAAAGGGAAATATATAACTTATCATTACAGAATTATTAATAGCTAAAATGGAGGAAAAGGAAAGTTTTCCAATGTTCTGTTTGTATAGTTTTGGAAATAAAAATGTATAAAAAAAGGAATAACTCCTGATCATCAGTTGCTCCTTGTCCAATGCATTTGAAAACATTTTAATAAAGGAATTGCACACACCTGTGGACTTTTTCAATAAAACTGCTGCACTCAATCCCACTTTTCTTGTGGTTAGTTTGTTAAACACATGCGTCAAGGACTAAACTGCTTGACTAGTTTGGTTCATCAGCTGCCTAAGTGATTATAACCCTCATAACCCTCTGCATTGTCTCATTTTAATGGCTCACATAAAACTTTCAAGAATGGAGACTAAAATCTTTAGAAACATTTTGAAGATTATCTTATTCTTAAAAATAACAAAAAAACTCTAAAAACTTTTCTCACCACATATCACTACACCAAGTAATGGAAATCAACCCTAGTCAGTCATTACTCAACATCTCTACTCCTGCCATACTTCTCTTTAGGTGATCTGTTCTTTCCTCCTGGGGAAAATGGATGAGATTCAAAAGGACAGTTGATGAAGAAACACATAATTCCCAGGAAGAAAGTGACACCTTAGCACAATCTAGTGCTAACTGACCAAAAAGCATAGTGTTCCTCTGAATAGAGATTATATGAGCTATTCAGCACATAATCAAAAGATGACCTTCATATTGGAAAGCCAAAGGGCCAGCACAGTAAAAAAAATAGCAAGCAATATCGTATTTGGATATGATGAGAGATATTACTTTAGCAGAAAACTACTCAGAAACCTATCTATATAGACATACTCACACATATAAAATATTATATTAGTGTATACATTGTACATATTAACTCTCCCAGTTGCATTCTAGGGAAGAAACTCACTCTCGATGCACTAGACTTGCTAAAATGTTTTCAAGCTCCTCACACTGCAGATAGCTATTACTGTTCTGGGACATGTCTGAGGGTGTTCAGATGGTGAAGAGTTTTGTCAAGTATACCCTGGTGGCACAACTCATAATCACAGAATGGTTGGGGTTGGAAGGGATCTCTGCAAGTGATCTAGTCCAACCCCCTGCCTAAGCAGGTTGCATAGGTTCACAGCCAGGTCGGTCACGAAGACCAGAGAAAGAGACTCCATAACCTCTGGAGGAAGTGATATTTGAATATTAACCAACTTCCTTGGACACCCCCTACCTTCTAGAGACCTAACTCATGGAGTTTGACCAAGTAGGTCCTTAAAGAGGCCAAAGTTAGCTTTCTTGAAGCTTATAACTCTCCTGGTTGTAATCTTACTTATTGCCCTGCTTCCTCCATGCAGGATCCAGAACTCCGCCATCTCATGGTCACTTCAGCCAAGGCTGCCTCCAACCTTCATATCCCCAACCTGTCTTTTTTTCTTGTTAGTACAAGGTGCAGCAACACACCTCACGTATACATACCAAAAGAGAACACCCTCAAAAGCATTCATAAATCCTTACACAGTTATAATATTTATGACCCTCAGTTTGTAAATAAAGGGCTGGCATCCAGAGAGATAATGTGACTTTACAGTGGTTCTCCTATTTTCAATGTTAGGCAACCACAAAAAGACTGTATTTTAACTAGCCAGTATTGAATAATATTAGCCTCTGCACAATACAAAATGCTGAAGCTCCTAAGGGTGCAGCTCCCAGCACAGATTATATAAACACACACACCAAAGAAAAGGAGGGAAAAAAAGGGGGAAAAAAGGCAAGTGGTTTTTTTTTTTTTAATTCACTCATTTCTACCTAATTTTCCCCACAGTTGCATAAATCTAACATGAATGGACTATGTGTATTAGTTTCAATGACATATGCACAGCAGCAAATATTGGCAAATACTAGAGGTCTAAATATTTGGACTTCCTTTATCCTGTGCTCCCAAAGCCCTTCAGTCTAAAAACATGGGTAGGAAAAGAATACTTATAAAATACTTGAACCTATGAATAATGTGTGAAATTGAACAAGAAAATCTTTTTGAACTGCACAGATTTTAGTAGCTAGCACTACTTTACATGGAACCAAAAAGAATTGGGAAAATACAGTTTCAGATTATCTGCCTTATCCCAAAATCTGGGTTTTGTAGGCTTATGGTAGAGATGAGCTGCAAACTGGAATTTCAAAGAGGATAAACAACGATTTTTTTCAGGTTTACTGCTGTTTCTCATGCTCCTGAGGAAAGGCAGGAGTAAGAAAGTCTGTGGGAGAGGTTTGTAGTTGAGGAATGAAACTAAGGCATGACTATAACACAGAGGTTGAAGTCAATATTGAGCTGATCTGCTCTACCCAGCCTGTAGCTGGCAACTGAATTAGAAAAGCAAAAAAAAAATTTGCTGACTTACGTAAGACTTATGTACGTTAATGACCTAAAAGGCAGCCCAAGCTTCCTAAGCTAAGAATTCAGAAACAATATGATCCATTGAAAATATAGTGATTGCTAATGCCAGAATAAGAAAGGCTGCAGTTCTCTGAACTGAATAGAGCACATTCAAGGTTTAGGCTTCATGTACACGGATGAAGAACCAGATTTTGGTGGTGCTATGGCAGAAAGTTACCGTTATTTGGAAATTGATAGCTAGGTCCAAGATACGGATTTAGTGAAAGTAAAGACTGTTCATGGGCTTCTGCAGCTGGAAGAATAAAGCCTGTTATTTTAAGCTAAGGGATCCAAGGCAGAATCCAATAATAAGTATGACCACAAGAAGAAAACTGAAAATATAAAGGAGCCATCTAAATGAAACTTAATTACAGCCCAGGGGAAAAAGTGACGTTTTAAAAAGCAAGTGTTGCCCTTCAAACAAAATTTCAGTTCCTCTGCAAAGAGAATTTAATTAAATCTTATGAAAAGCTTCACAGATAAATCAGTTTATTATACCTATGAGACACCTATTGTTCCATTTATAAAAATTAAAAGCCGATGCACTTTCCCTCCTTATTTAGAAGGATCCTGCAGATGAAAAGATTACTTTTATGCATTACTATGCTTTTCTTTTTGAAGTCAAGATTTACAATGAAAAACACATCTTTTGAATATGTAAAGGAAGGTTCATAACCTTTAAAAGATCTTGAATAACAGATAAACTAAAGGCTTTGCTTACAAGTCAGCAAACCATTTGAATAATTCATTCCACAATGCTGAATTAGTTCAGAAAAACATATTAAACAAGGTTCTCATTCTTGTAGGGGGAAAAAAAAAAGGCACAATATGATAAGGTTTTCTCATTTTGATTCACATAAAATTCATACTGATTATCAGAGTGAGAAAAGGGAAAGTAAGAAATGAGAAAAGATTAATACAGATTTAATTCAACCAGCATGAAAAACATTAGAAATATCGATCTTTCCACCAGACACATGTTTCTTGATACTGGCATACTGACATCTATATCTGATGAGGTTTAATCAGACATCACTCTCTTCAGAATTTTCAGGTATATGCTATAAGCCTAGCTACAGGTTCAGTCACTTTTCTGTGAGAAGTCTAACTTACCGACAGGAAGAAAAAAAGCCCCAAACCCTCCAAATCAAGACTTCTCATTTCTTTCCTAAAATGAGACACAAGCACATAGAGACATCTACCTGGCTAATATACTTACAAGATGCTTAGAAAACTAGTAGATGAGCCTATTAAGTGCTTGGAAGTCAGATAGACCTACTCAAGAAGATTTAGCACAACTGGGGACTTTGTTGTTAAAGAAACACTTTGTTAAAGAGCCTTTGTTATTAAAGAAAAAACCCAAACAACATGTAAATTTACCATATCTTTACTTAAAGTCTGCATGTTTTTATTGACAAAGCAATGCATATTCACAAATTCTCACAACTCTTGTCAGTGTTTCGCTTAAGACTAGAAGTGAAAGACTAGACCAACAATTTCAGCAACTCTCTATCACA